TGCAGCATATTAAGACAGCATTTTTGAATACTATCCTCACTATTGACAATTTGGGAAAAGGGATTAAACGCTAGGATATTCATTTCTTGCACGATTGTGAGGTGGTCAGGGACCAGAAGCTAGCTGATTCCCATTTTTGGAGTACAATTAGTATGTCCCATACTGTGGTGAGACCGTGAGATTATGTACCGTAGGAAGGGAGGAAGTGTAGGCATATCAGGAGAAGCTAGGAGGGCTGCCCCTCTATGGATTATGCAGAGCATTTGGAAGGAGAGTAGTATCAGAGTAAAAAGTTGAGCTTCCTATATCTAGAGTGATAAACATTTTGCTTTTGGGTGTCTGGGAGGCCTTCTGTTAGATTTATTCCATTAATTTCATTGGTGGGTACAATTTTGTATATGCTTTTCATTTTTCTTCGTGTATGCCATCCTACACATGGATTGCAATTCTGCAACACGCTTGTTAATAATACCAGCAACAACACCTACAACAAATTAAAACACCTACAAAGTGATGAAGAATCAAAGGTTGCAATACAATAGGAGTTCAGCTCACTATACACAGATTGTAAGGTAATGAACCTAAAACAACCAAGTTAAAAAAGGTTTTCATATAAGCAAAGTAGCTCAGTAGCCTAATATTCACATGCTCAAAGCTTAGTAAGTGGATCCGAATTTAAGCAAAGAGAAGTTTCATGCAAAACAAATACCAGGCAAAACCATTATTTCAATTTTTTCACATTATTAACAGTAAAACATATCAAAAGCAAAACAAATACCAAAAGATCATAAAACATGCACTGGTCATGGACTGAACACCCTTTTGAATTACAATAATTCATCTTCCTCTATATGAGCTGTCGACGTGCATACCAGGACAAACCAAGGCTATTACAGTATTCTAAATTCAGAATTTTGTGTATTATTCAAGGATCAAAATATCGTTTCGAAACAGTCGAAACGTCCAAAACGTATCAGTGATATAATCGAAATTATAATATTTCAAGATATTTCATAATGTTTCAAAATGTATTATAATATTTCAATGCATTTGCACAATTGTTTCAAAATGTTTCAAGGTATTTTAAGATATTTTGATATATTTAAATCCATGTTTTAGAAAAATAATTCTTAAATTTTTTATTTTTTTCATTATGTTTTCGAAACGTTTCTGAAACACATCAAAACGTTTCCGTTTCCTAGGTGACTGAAACAATACACCGAAATAAAATTTTGATCATTGGTATTATTATAGAAGTTTTAAAGTTCAAACAGCAGATGCATTATCACACCATGTGAGTTTTAATTTTTTATTATGTGTATCTTCCATTGTTTTGGCCTCCGGTATGTCAACGAGCATTTTTTCCTCCTCAACTGTCTCACTTTTCTACACAGATGATCAACCAATCAGTATGATCTGTTCAAAAGCAAAAAGATGAGAATTTGCAATTGCTGGACTACACTAGGCAAGAGTGATGCATCAATCAACCTGATTTAGAATAGCAGACTGTTATGGTCACCAGACTCACCACACACATCTCTTCCACTGTGAATTTGGAACAGAAAAGATCATATCACTCCAATGAGTCTGATGAATATTTGTAATATCATTTATTTTATATTTATATAATAAAGTAGAGTGTGTTTTGAATTCCCAAACTTATCTTGAGCTTTTCGTAAATCAGATCAATTATGAGGAAAAAAAGGTTAAATCCTACGGATGACATTATCTCGCCTTCATTTGTCACTGTTGCTCATCCACTGCCAGAGACAATCACTGCTACCAGGTACATATATGTCTCTCTTTCTCTCCCTATTCTTTCTTCTCACCAGCCCTCTATCCTTTGTGTTGCTGCCCATCCACCGCCAGCGGGATCAAAGCCAACCGTTGTTGTCCAGCCCCACGCCATCCTTCCCCCCTCTCTCCGTCACCGCATCATGCACAACACACACAGCACACACACGCATACCCAACACACTTTCTCAGAATGCACACTGTTGAACACACAACAGACACATTCTTTTGTGTTTTTACTTTAGTTTCAAATTTTGATTGTGCTTGACTAATTAGTTTCATTTTGAATTAAGTCTGTCAACGGATCAGATTTTGACTAAGCTGAATCCAAATCCAACTTTGGAAGTCCAATTTGACTCCAATCCGATAATCCGATGGATTTTATTTTCGTGATCTATATCCGAATTCATTAACAATTCAAAATCGGATTTGAAATCCGATTTGATCCAAATAACTTAATTTAACTAAATTTTAACAAATTCCATCTAAATTTTAACTAAATTCCTTCAAATAATCACTTAATTTCTTTAATGTTTATATAAAAATATATAAATATTTTAGATCGAATCAAATATAGATATCTCCAAATCCGACTCTGCAAATATAGGTTTGAATCGTATTCGAATCAAAATCCAATACATTTACATGTCTAGTTTGAACCACAATTACCACAAATAATATCAAAGTTTTGACAAAATTTCTCAAAAAAAATACAAACATCACGAGTTCGAAATGATGGATTTGATAGGATTTTTTGGATGAGTACAATTCGTGTTATGGATGTTTCGCAATGTTGCAAGTGATACTTGATTGATCTTAATTCTTGGATTTCATTTTTTTTAAATCTACACATTGTTGTAGTGATGGTATGTCGTTTTCAGCGATGGGGTCTCTTTTGGAACTTCGTGTCATGCATTGCACATATCAGTCCCTCTCTTTGGTAGCCGAAAGGTATACATTTGTTGTATTTTAATTCTATGGCAATAAAATTGCAAACAGGAACACCACTGATTTTTAAACTATTTTATGCATTACATTGATTGTATTTAGTTACTTGGCCTATGAGAGCCTCTCTTCTCAATTTCAATAACATCTTCCCTCATTGTCGCCTCTCGACGTGGATCTAGATGTCAATGCCGATGACAAATATTCCATTGTCAGTCAAAAACTTGTTCTGGAAATTTCCATTTTGCTATTACTCTAATTTTGATGTCATATTTTTGTGGGTTTTCATTTTCAGGTCCTTTTTAGGGGGACTTTTTTTTTTCTATGCATATGTTGTTCAATGTGATTCTATTTTGCTACTTGAATGCGCCAAATTTAGTGTAAACTGCTGATATTATATGATATTTTTTCATTTTTTCTGTTGGTGTTTTTCCAATTTTATTTTCCAATTGTGGTTGATTTACGAAAATGTGATGTGTTTCTAGAACTGGAGATCTTTGAGCAATAGGTGTAACAGACTAGCATGAAGGGAAATTTTCATTCTAGAAGCATCAATGTGTCCCTAAGATTAGTATTCCTAATGGCTCTTGATTAGATGTGCACTGCCTACAAAAAGTTGTTTAGGGCCATGGATATAGATTCTTAATCCATATATGTTAATAAGCAATAAGATATATCATTCTCAAATTTTGTGTAGATTTGGGTGCCATTTCTTAAGGGATAAGCCAAATTGTTTTGATAATATTAGTGAAAGGAAATTATTTTAATAGATATTATTCAATGAGGATTCCTTGGTGAGAAAATAAATTGGGTGATATATTGTTTAGTTTGAAAGGTAGTAGGGTGAGTATTTGTTTGGATACATGCTAGATGATCGAGAATATGTCCGAGAGAAGAAAATGAAGTCTGGTCCAACCCTTGGCCTACCTTGAGAGATTTAAATGCGAATTTTAGCTATATGAGCTATCTAGAGCTCTTGCTCATTTGGTATCAGACAGATGCTCTTCACTTATTCAGCTGTTAAATATGCAACCTGGAATGGGAGGACATAGATGTTTGTGGCAATTTGTCCAAAAGCCTTGGTTGGTATTTGTCATTTGGTAAGTCCACTACTGTGGAATTTCTATGTGCTTGGATGCATTTCAACTATAAAACATGTTACTCCTTTGCACTTACAAGGCTTTAGTAGTTGTTCCGTGTTTGATTGTTTTTTGGCGTATTTTGAGCTTGCCATACTCTGCTTACAATTTTGGCTGGTACAGTTTTTCCTCTCTTTACTTCTTTTCCTGTTTTCCTTCTCTTTTGTTCCTTTGAAGGTGTAGTTGTTGGGCCCCAAATTTTGGGTGGCTGTTTGGTGCTCATTTGGCCATTCAGTGCATTTATACTATCATTTTGAAAGTTGAAACTGTTAGTAGAACTTATAATGGTTGTTCGTTTTTATTCATTTGTTACTTGGATTATCTAGGTTTTCATGATTTTGGTAGTATCTGTGAACTTTCGACTTGAAAATGGATTAATTTGGTATGTGGTAAAGGATTGGGTCTTGGAATATACTAAGTTTTGTTCAGTGAGTTAGGAATACTATAAGTACTATTTTTAGAGGAGATTTTGCTAAACTTTTTTATGAAAGAGTGAGCCCGAATTGTTAAAAGTGTGTTCAGGCATGGACATTTTCTAGTGCTTCAATAAGTATACTCATGTATGGGCATACATGTCTTTCATGGTTTCTTTATACACCTGTAAATATAAGTTGATAGTGAGAGGTAGGGTGACAAACAATTTCTCTTCCCACCTCTCTCATATTGTCTCTCTGCAAATCTTCTGTCTCTAACCTAAACCATTATCTTGGGCAAAGGGCCACCCAATCACAAATCCTCATCTGATGGCAATGTTTAAGCATATGGTCTTGACTCTTGATTGGCTGCATCTATGTTACCCCACTTGCATAAATTGGAAGATGTCTGATCTAGAACAGCAGGCTGTTATAGCAGACCTACGACCCACATCCCTTAGATGGTCGAATTTGGAGCAGAAAAGATTAATTAGATTCTGAATGCCACAGGAAGCAAACCAAAGATATCTCCTACATCTTTCTTCGTGCAAAGTGCATGTTGCTTTGATGTAGCACAATTTCTAGAAGAGGATGAGGTAAACCAAAGAAGAAATCAGTTAAGCGAAACTACCTGTAGCACCTAGTTTGAGTGATACCAGGTTTTTGTGTCTATCTTGAAAAGTAATACATGACTTCAATTGAACGTGTTTCAGGTTGAAGCATTGCCAGGGCAGTAACACCTAGCCTATGAAGCAACCACATCTCAAAAGAGCTGGTTGAGTAGTTAAGAATAAATGATTCTCTTACCCAAAACTTAAGTTCAATCTTAAAATGGGTACCACATACACCCTACTCTTCCTGCCTTACCTTTACAAAGCACGATAGCATGCATATATCAAAAGAAAAGTAAAGTCGCATATAAATTTAGTTTAATTAGGAAGAACTTGTGCAGATATTTTACTCAGAATAGAAGCAGATCAAATATTAAACATGCATTAGGGGTATACTTAAGCAATATACAAAGATTTTCAACTATAATAGTTAATGTGCAACATACCTTGACTGGGAAGGTCCCCATTGGAAGTTTTGTGGTAAGCAATTCTCTAAGCCGTCGTATTGCCTTAACTTTGTTTGCAAGAATGTCAAGCAACGGAAGGAGTTCTTCAGATCGTAACGGAAAATTGGGGGCAAGCCAAAGAATAGGCCTTAAGCCTTTCTTGTATTCACTCTCCCGGCTTGCATCCTTACGGCGATTACCACTATCAGAAGTTGTAGATGGAGACGTTCTTGTATCCCTTCCTCTCAGATGCTCATCCCCCTTCACAATAACCTCCATGGAATGCCTTCCTGGTTTGTTCTGACTTCTAGATGGTGAATCCCCAAGCAGATCACTAACCTTCTCTTCTACACAGAGGGAACTTCTTGGAGGGGCAACCCTTTTCTGCCCATCATGTTTAGTATCCCGTTTCCTCCAGCCACCAAACCATCCTTTCTTTTCCTGCTTAGTCTCTCCATTTCTGCAGCCATTTACATCCTCAATGGGAATCTCCCTTTGCTCATAACAACTGTGGCGGGGTCCAACAATCCCATCACCATTCTCATTACTCAGATCTGAGGAATCCAGCTTAAGAGCATTTTCAAGTTGCCTTCGTTCTTCATCTGTTAGAACATCATCAAGGTCCTCGCCCTCTGTCTCATTTTCATTGCATGATGAGAATAGCTCATCATCTGTCATAGCCCCTGGGACCCTTCTAGATTTGATGCTTACAACCACATTGTGCATATCATACACTTTAGCCTTCCATTGACCCACCATTTCTGTTTTCTCTTGCCTCCTCCATGTCAATTGTGGCAAAAGAACCGACTGAGTCACATCTATGCCAGGCCTGAATATATTGGTTTGGGACATGGCAGCCACTTCTTGCTGCACCTCTGCCTCTGTTGCTGGAGCACCAGCACCATCCAAAGCATTCATCACTTCCTTATCTTTGTGTGAGATCATGCAAAGGGACCCAGGAGGAACCTTCCCATCCTCGGAACCATCACCAAGGAAAAGAACACTCTGATCAGAACGCTGAATTCTAAAACCATCAAAACCAGCCAAAGTCATATCCGCCCTCAAATTTGCACCCCTCTTCCAAATTTTGTAAGTATCAGAAGGAGCAATCCTCGAAATGAAAGGGATGACGGAGCTCTCAAATTGAAATGTGATTTCCATGTAGAAATCCCTCATCCTTCTCATTGTCCCGACCAACCGAGGCAACCTTCTACACCATTTTGCCCAAGCCAATGGCTGGTAGTGCCTAACAATGATTCTTGCAATCCCTTCCTCCCGATTACAAATTGCTTCCTGGAGTGCACTCCACCCATGTTCATTTTGCAAGCTCCAATCCGCACCTGCAAGCATAAGCGTCTCGGTTGCAATCTCATCACCGAGTTTGACAGCCAAGTGGAGAGGGGTATCACGGCTTGGGACATCGCGCCGATCAATCACCGCCGAGATGGCATCAGATTTGGCTTCCTCGGAAAGTGAAACAGATTCAGTTTGAATCTCAGCAGGGTCACAAAGCCGTGGGAGGCCGGCAAGCATCCTCCTGAGACCAGCATAATCTTTCATGACTACGGCTTTGTGGACAGGACTATGGGCATACTTTGAAACGTCAATGCCTGCCATGTCTCAGGAGTATCCAAGACTAACCTACACTGGTTTATACTATCTCAATCCACTACAATCATCCAAAACTACCACAAAAGAAAAGCAAAACAAGAGCCCTTCCTTCAAATCAATAGTATATGATGGCTGAACACTGCCACCGTGCCACCAATTCAAATCCCACTAAGACCCGCAGATTAGAATCAAACTTGGCACTAATTCATATTCTTCAAACCACTGGATGCACAAAATAGAAAGACCCAGCTCACACTTGGTCACCAAATTGAGAAATTCACACAAATTTTCCCAAAACTAGTACCCATTTCAAATTACACCCAAAGATACGAGAAAACAACAAAACCCAAAAAGTTACAGGTATCACAGACAAATGCAGAGAATCTTACAGGGCCCCAACATAAAAAAGATCCAAAAGGGTCAGGAATTCTCACCTTCTTCTGAGACCTCTCAAACAGACCCAGCATAGGTGCCAAAAAGGTCTCAGCTACTCAACCCCACCACTTCTCTGCCTCTCACACCTTCTCTGCAAATAGAAAAAGAACAAATAAAGATCCTCGTGATCCAATCCAGATCAGACAAAGCCAAACCATGCATGTGGGGTGGCGCTAAAATGGTTAGTAAATTTACAATAAATAAGAAACTATAAAGATGGTTTGGGGAATCTGATAAGGACATTGAAAAAAGTCTCAAAAAATCAAAGCGAAGAAATACAGACGAAAAGCATATAGAATAATACCCCACCGTCCACGCAAACCGCAAAACTTTTTTGTGTTAAAATGGAAATGAACCCCAAAAGAATCACAAGAAAGAGACTAAGACAAGTATTCAGTCACACTTTGAGAGAGACTCTATTTTGTTCGAGGCAGAAAGAAATAAAGAGAGAGAGAGCATTACCGATGCCAAGAGTGCAAGAAGAAGAGAGAGAAAATAATACACGGGATTTTGGTGTTAGTAACTTGGTGGTAATATTGAAGTAGAAAGGAAACGACCAAACGTTCTAATTTACATTTTGTAACAGCTAAAGAACACATTAAAAGCTGTGTGTGTGAGAGAGAGAGAGAGAGAGAGAGAGAGTTGGGACTTGGGAGGCTGCATGTGAGCCAGAGGGAACTTGCTTTCCTATTTCCACTTTTTTTTTTTTTCAAATTCTTGTTTTTTTTTGGGTCAAAATTTCCATTTTTAATTGAAAGTATTTATTAAATTATATTTTTTTTAATGAGTATTAGGTGGCCACATGAGAATCAATAGCTAGTTAATGGTGGAGCATTAGTAGGGTAGGCTAGCTAATAGGCTGTCAGTCTTCTTTGTAATAGTTGACCCGACCCGGGACCACTGAACTATATAAAATCCGGTTTCTCTTGACTTATATTCAAACCCAAAATCACTTCATGTGTATAATGTATTGAAACTCACTTGTAAAGGGTCACAATTTTTGGCAAAGCACGTTAGTACGATACGGAAGTGACACAAAATAATAAATTATATTAATTATTTTAAATTTATTAACAGTAGTTAAAAATAAATAACTTGATTTCACGGGTTTAATTTTACACAATAACCTAATTGAGTTAAGTTAAATTTAATTATCTAACAAAAATCTAAATAATACGTTATGGTCGGATTATCGCAATAATCACTTCATATAATTAGGTTGCACCCCAAGGTATTGACAAGCCTAAATTTAATTAGATCAGGTCTAATAAATCAAGTAAGTCTAAATCAACTAAAAGACAAGTTAAGTTCAGTTCGAGAATTCGACTCAATCCAAGTTCGATGAAGTCCAAGAAGAATTAGAACATGTGGGAGCAATTATCGAAATACTCACTTTCGAAGATCAATGCAATTTTTTATGGCAATTACATTTTGTAGTCATCCAAAGGATTAGTACATATGTCTTCAAGTCACCGCTTTAACTAAGGTCATGTGCCTATAAATTATAAGTTGAGAACACATTGAACTTTATCTTTATACCTCTCTGCACACATAATTTTTCTCTCTCTTAACTATTGTACCCCTCTTGGAACTAATTATTGCTCTCTCTCTCTCGATCATCGTACTTTATCAATAAATGTCCATTTGCCACCGTTGTCATTTTTCAGAGTGGAATAAGTCATCCAGATCGAACCACTATATATGTGTGTTGACCGGATATTTACACTATTGTTATTAATTTCTCTATTAATTGTCTATTAATTATATTTTATCACACACTCAACTGTTAATCTTGTACGATATAATTTTGTATATCATCACTTTTGACAACTATTAATATTTAATAAAATAATTAAAAAGTCCTCGTATATATATATTTTTTATAAATTTGAGAATTACAAATCACGTGATTTTGTTGTATATGAATGTGTCGCACACGAACTTGTTGAGAAATTGCATCAGCATGCCTGTTTTGACAATCCATTTGTGTGTTGACTCCACTTAGCACCCGAATAGTAGCCAACGCGCCCAACTCTAGCATGCGTTGACTACTTGATACGTGACATAATAATGATTTATAAGTAATGATCATCATAATTACTGTTAGCGAAAGGATTAGTCATGATAACCAGGATATGTCATTGTCATACAAAAAATATTATTTAGACTTATTTGTTGATTTGATCGATTATAATTATTGAATAAATAGTGAGTCTTAATTAATACTAGTACTTACAATTAAATCAATAATCGTAATTAATTAAGTCAATAAATCAAATCAACATTTTTAATTCATATAACATTATTCTATCGTCACGTGGTGTAACCAACTAATTATGAATAACTACGTAGTACGTAAAATTAGTGAATCTCACCAAATTGTATAACCACCATTACCTCTCAGACTCAAAACTACCATGTAGGGTTAGGAAGATCCACAATCCTATTTGTTTGTTTATTATTAATCGATTATATTATATAATAATGATGTAACCGTTATATTGAATATGTACTCGATAAACTAGAGCCCGAAAAAGGGCTCATGTCTCATTAATACAATTTTTCGCAATTTTTCTTAATAGTATCTGATATATCATGAATTCAAGTAAATCACAAGACGAAATTTTACCCATAAAATTGACGTTATAGTGACTAATTTTTTACATCAATAGTGTTATCCTCTGGACAAATTCAATTGTTAGACATTCTCTTGTTCTTTTTACTAAATACAGTAGCAAAGCTTGTGAGAGTGTGTGATTGTGTTTTTTTTTTTTTTGGAGTAGTACTGCAAGCAACAAATGCAAGTTTGTCCCTAGTTCCAAGAGTTGGAGAATTCAGAACAGCAGAAACTTGTTCCTTTTCTTCTTCTTTTTTTCTCTCCTTCTGCTCACTTGGATTTCATTACTTCAACACATTCTAGGACCTTACTGCCCTTTTATGTAAATCTCAATAAATAAAAGCTAGAAAGCAAAAAAACACAGGGTAAATGTCAATGACACTTCCTAAATTTAAGTCATATTTTACCAATATTTCTTATAATTTTTAAAATATCACTGCACACCCTTATAATTTATATACATGTTTCACAAACTATCCATTTTGTCTAATGTCTTTGCTGACAAGTAAAAAAATGTGTGATGTGATTTTTTATTCTCTTATGTGTTACCAAATTTACCTTGGCCATATAAAACAAGTTTAAAGTAGTAAAAAATATCATTTTAGTATTAATTAAATTAAATTAAATGCTAATTGAATTAAATAGAATGTTTCCTGTAAAAAATGGATTAAAAAAATTGTTAATTTGATATTAATTTTATAAAATTGAATAACCATTTGGTATTAATTTGATAAAATTGAATGTTAATTTGAAATTCAATCAAGAAAAATGATGTTAATTTGATAAAATGGGTGTTAAATTTATGAAATTAAATGTTAATTTGAAGTTAATTTGATGACATTAAATATTGATTTGACGTTGATTTTATAAAATCGAATATCAATTTGATGAGATTGAATGTTACTTTGCCGAAATAAAATGATAATTTTATAAAATTTAAGATTCATTTCATGTTAACATGGTAAAATCTTGTATTAATTTGATAAAATTTAATGTTAATTTAATAAAATTGATAATTAATTTGGTGTTAATTAGATCAGATTAAATATTAATTTGGTATTTAATTTAATGAAGTTTAATGTAATCTTGCAAAAATTGAAAGTTAATTTTATGAAATTAAATACTAATTTGGTATTAGTTTAATAAAATTGAATGTTAACGGGATGAATTGAATGCTAAATTTGATGAATGTGATGTTAATTTGACAAAATTTAATGTTAACTTGATTAATTTGGTGCTAATTTGTTAAAATTGAATATTAATTGGTGTTAATTTAATAAAATTAAATATTAATTGGATAAATTGATTAATCAAATAAAATTAAAGGTCGGTTTGATATTAATTTGATAAAATTATAGATTAATTTTGTATTAATTTGAGTAAGGTTAATTAAATAAAGTGGGAGTTCTACTAAGGGTATTTAAGTAAAATCACATTTTTTGTTAGATATGTTAACCGATAAAAATTGACAGGAGTATGCAATAATATTTCAAAAACTAAAGGGGCTGTTAGTGAAATTTACCCAAAAAAAACAGTAAATACTATAACTAATCAGCTAAAAGACTTCGACATAAAAACTCTTTTACATAAGAAACGGAAATTCTTGTAGATTTTATCTGGGTTGAGGCAATTTTTCTGGTACCAAAACTGTTGAAAATAAACTTGAGGAATAATAATATAATTTGTTTAACTAAAGCTTATTCATGTGACAACCCCAAAAGCTTTATGTTAAACAATATGCTATAGAGTGCAAAAAACTTATAGTTATACGATTGAAGTAAATTATGGAATTACTTAAATTATATGAGTGACTCACTCCAGTAGATTCTGAATCATGTCACATTGATGTGCGATATCACAATTCAATAATTAAATTTATACTACTTTAAAATGTCAAGATACATGAAAAATTTTATTTAGACACTTTTGTACTTCAAAATTTTGAAAATACCAAATTTACCGTTGAAATTAAAATACCAAACACTTGTGACACTGATCATATCTAATGGGTCATTAAATATTTCACAATGAGTATTATTATATTTGCTTAGTTTAGATATATCACTCTGATAGATTTTATAATATCAAAAATATTATATTAACTCTTCATCTTCTAATATTTTTATGTTGCTCTTAATTTTGTCATATGTGAGATATAATAAGTTGAAGGTCACATCAACTTATCTTCGTCCTCTGAAAATATTCGTAGTCTTCTACTTTTTTTACTATCTATATCTATATGACTACTAAATCCAAATATTTTTTTTTTCATCATTATCTTCAAACAATTGTATAAAATCATATTAGTGCTAGATTACATCCCTATTATATCCATAATAAATTACATAATATCAATCATATCTTATTTTCTTATGCAACTCTTAGACTTCTCTCATTCTAGAAATACACATTCAATTGCTCCTACCTAACTCATAGGCCCTTCACATTCTATCCACATCTAATAACTTTAATTGACACATTACTTTTATAGGTAAAAATTTTTCACAAGGAATATGCAAATCAACCAGTAAAACTTGAATCATTTCATCTTCCTTTTTTCTGGCTCCATTCACATTACAATAAAGTCAATTCACTCATATTATTTCAATATGCAATGAATGTCAACAATCAATTAGAAGATGAATCATCACATTCTCACTTGTTTGACATACTACTATGCACAAAACTGAAAACTCAAATTGGTCTATTTGTAACAAGCACTCTCTTTTGAAACCTTTGTGCTCCATTAATGCTAGCATAATTCATCTTTTAAACCCTAGCGCTCCATTAATGTTAGCATAATTTATCTGTCGATTCATCTGGTGGTAAATGGATCATCTCTTTATGTAGTGTGAGAATTGCTCGAGCCTCTTGAAAATTTTAATGCTAGCATAATTAATGTTTTCTTAACAAGCACTCTCTTTTTAAACTCTTGTGCACCATTAGTGCTAGCATAATTTATCTTTTTAAACATGTGTTCCATTAATGTTAGCATAATTTATCTATTGATTCATCTAGTGGT